AAATGATAGTTTTTGAATTTGCAGGATTCTTACTGCAAAAAGTTAGGAATTCAGAAATAATGGTATCATTAGATGTTATCTCTCTCTTCACCAATGTACCTATCAACCTTGCGATAAACAGTGTTAATATAGATGGGAGTATATTAAGTCACAGACAAAAATTCCAAAAAACAATTTATTAAATGTATAGAATTGTTTTGTGTCATCTACATATTTTACATTGAACAATATAATTTATAAACAAATTTTCGGTACCCCCATGGATCACCATTATCGCCCATAATAGCTGATTTAATAATGGAAGATTTGGAAAATTCTGTTCTTGACTTGATTAATATCGACATCCCATTTTATTATAGATACGTTGATGATATCATTATGACAGTTCCTGAGGAGAAGGTTGATTTGATTGTGGATTCTTTTAACAAATACCATGACAGACTCAAATTCACATTGGAATATGAGGATAACCGTTGTTTAAATTTCTTAGATGTATCATTGAAATTAATTAACAATACCATTTTTGTTGATTGGTTTCAGAAAAAAACATTTTCTGGAAGAACTCTTTCCTATTACTCTAATCATCCTTTCTGCCAAAAAAAGGCATTGTTTATAACTTAGTAGATAGAGCTCTTCTTCTTTCACATCCAGAATTTCATAAGAAGAATATAAATTCAATCATAACTATTTTACGTAACAACGGTTACCCTTTAGAATTTATTTTCTCCACTATTAATCAAAGAATTAAGTATCTTATTACTTCCAAACTAAATATCTTGACTAATGACAATAATATTACTAAGGTTCCTGAAATAGCTGGAGATAATGAAAAAAGAATTTCTTTGTTATTCCTTTTGTGAATAGCATTTCTGACAAAATTGCATCATCTATCAAAAAAACAGAAATGACCATAGGTTATCGTTGTCTTAATAAACTCAATCGTTTTATCAAGGTTCATAAAAATAAAAATCAATTTTCAACTAATTCCAATGTTATTTATAAGATCTCATGTCACGATTGCGATGCGACATATGTTGGCCAACCAAAAGACAACTTAAAACGAGAGTTAAGAACATGTAAATAATATAAAGTTAGATTCGTCAAAGCACTCGGTCATCTCGGAACATATTCTTAATTACCAACACTCATTTAATTGGGAAGACATAAAAATTTTAGATTCCGAATCTAATTTTCAGAAGAGAAATGTTTCTGAAATGATTCATATAAAGGAACAAAAAACGGTCTAAACTTAAAAAAGATACCGATATGCTTGACGAGTCAAATTTTGACATTCTAGAAGAATTGTCTTATAAATAAATAATAATAATAATAGGAGTCACGGTTTGAATTCGACACATCATATTGTGACTCTGTATAATGAACACATTGACTTGGCGGAATCTTGACTACTCATCAATTTTAAGTAAGCAATTCTAATCATAATCAAGATCTTTCACATAAAAAATAACTTATCAATATAAATTAATATACAAAAAAATAAAAATATACTTAGACAAACACGGTGAAATACACTACAACGATGAACTTACTCGGAAATATGCTTGATGATGGGGACTAACTTTTTGATGCTGGATAACATCTAAATGTTTCAATTCTCATATCAAGCGGTTCTGACGATATTTTCAACTAACAATGTTCAAAAGGATTGATGACGTGGAATGGACTGTCAACTTGTTCTACTAACAACAGTGAGCTCGTTTACATGTTTTTTGACATAATTAAAAAGTTTACCATCTTAGTTAAAAAATGGTTAGCCGATTAGAAACAATATCTATTTTAATTAATGATATATAAGCGTAACCCAATTTAAATTTATTGACTTCTCAAACCAAAGGTTCATTAAAAAATAGACTCCAATGCGTAATATGTCATAATTTTACTTAAAAGAATTTTTTTTATTGTTTTTTATATTTACTGAAGAAGGCTGAGGTAACAGCCGAAACGTTTATTTTTTATTATCTAACATTGTATTTACTAAGAAATAAATTAATTATGTGTTGACATTACATCTCTCACTAATTTAATATGCTCGTTATAGTTGGCCCTGTCTTTCTAAATCTTAATTTTAAAATACAAATTTAGTATCTCAAACAAATATTTTATCTGGAAGTTTGCTCGCAAACGTTTCCTTGAAGAGATATTGACTTTTGAAATTTGGAACTATAGGAATAAATGATATCAAAAGATTTTTGTATAGGGTGTTCTAAAAGTATATATAAAGTGCTTGTTAATGAGCTTCAATTATTAAAACAGAGAATACAAGTATGTAACGAAATTTCAGTTGCACGTCAGCCAGCTCGTTCTGTTATTGATAGGTGCAATGCTTGTCTCCGCGCTGGAGGTCATTTTGAACAAAATATTTAATTTGAAAAGGACCACAAACCGTATGGTCGATACATAAATAAACTTTCATCTAATTTTTGAAGCCAGTATAGTCAATTTTTGTGAATGCGTGGATAGGTGCAAGGGTGGATGAAAACTTAAGAAAAAATCACATAGTCACACTCCCTGAAAAATTTGTAAAATTTTGGTACCAATTTCGAAAAAATCGATCCATAAATATGCAATTGCGTGGGTAGGTGCGTAGGTGATACATGGGTGGATGCGTGAGTAGGGGTGTAAAAATTAAAAAACCATATCATCACCATTCTTGAAAAATTTAAAAAATTTTACTATCAATTTCTAAAACATCGATCAATAAATTTGTGAATGCATGGGTAGGTGCGTGGGTGAGTGGAAACTTTAAAAATCACATCGTCACTCCCCGAAAAAAAATTAAAAAACCATATCGTCACTATCCTTAAAAAATTTTGAAAATTTTACTACCAATTTCGAAAAAATCGGTCCATAAATATGCAATTGCGTGGGTGGGAGTGTAAAATTTAAAACAAACCACATAACATCCATCCCCGAAAGATTTGCAACATTTTGGTACCTGTTTCACGAAAATCAGTCCATAAATGTGGAAGTAGTTTGCGGTCAGGCAGACAGACAGACAGTGCTCATATATATAGATTAAGATATGGTAGTAACACAATATTAGTTTGTAAAAAGAAAATAGTTATTTATTTTAAAATTCTTGAATAAAATTTTTCTCAATATTCCGCGATTCTTTTTCACAGAACTAAACAATGATTTAACTTCTTATTATATGCTTTTATTTAAGCATAAAAATATATATTTGATAAAAATTTTGAAATTTTTAATCTGAGATAGAAGAGATAAATATATCTTTTTCTATTTTTAAATCATTTTTTATCTATCAATATTTTTATTATTATTGTTTTAGAGAAAAATTTATTGAAACATTAAGAAAATTCCTTACTTGATCATTATCTTGCATGCGTCGCATCGTGAAATTGTGCAAAGGTAGTCCTGTATGTAACAAACAAAAAAGTATGAATTATTTTTAAATTATTACATTTTTTAATAATATTATTAAATTAAATTTTTATTTTAAATTAACAATTTTGCAAAATCCTAGAAGCAAAAATAAATAAAATCTTATAATATAAATTATGATATTTTATAATATTTTACATTATATAAAAGTATAATATAAAATATATTTATATATTCTATAAATTTAAAGTGTCAAACAGGCAATAAGAGCCAAATCGCGGATGACAATGCGTTATCCCAACGAAACTAATTTTTTCGTTAGAATTAAAAACCTGTGCACAAGGTACTAAATTTTACTTGGTCACGGCCAAGATTTAAAATTGGAATAATCTCTACAAGAGATTTAATTCCATACATCCCCTGTTCCCCCCTATAGAATCGAAAGAATCTGAATAGCTCAGTTGGAAGAGCAGTTGCCCGGCAAGCGAAAGGTCTCGGGTTCGATTCCCGATTCAGCGACTTTCGGATCTATATCTTTCTCTCGCATTTATTTCCTTAGGGGGGAACAGGGGATGTATGGAATTAAATCTCTTGTAGAGATTATTCCAATTTTATATCTTGGCCGTGTCCAAGTAAAATTTGGTGCCTTGTGCACAGGTATTTAATTCTAACAAAAAAATTTAGTTTTGTTTAGGATAACGCACTGTCATCCGCGATTTGGCTCTTATTGCCTGACTTATACGAGGTGTGTTCAAAAAGTATCGCGAATTTTGAATTTCCGCGGGTTACGTATATTCGATTTTCGATTTTTTTGTGGCGTTATGTTGGTACTCATGTTTCTCATTTATGCCGACAAGTACGGCCATTTTGAATGTTCAGTTAATTTTTGACAGCTGCTTTGCTTGCACGTGTTTTGGCTCGTCTTCGATTTTTGCCTATTCCAAAAAATGGATCAAAGAATCTGTATCAAATTTTGTGTGAAAAACAAAATTAAGTGCGCGGACGCATTCCGAATGTTGACTGTGGCATATGGTGAAGCTACCTTGGACCGAAGCAACGTTTATCGGTGGTACAAAATGTTTTCCGAGGGCCGAGAAGATGTGAACGACGAAGAGCGTGCCGGACGCCCGAGCACGTCAACAACAGACGAAAACATTGATGAAGTGAAGAAAATAGTATTGGTCAATCGTCGAATCACCGTTAGAGAAGTTGCTGAGGACCTAAACATATCGATTGGCTCGTGCCATTCGATTTTTACCAATGATTTGGGCATGACACGGGTCGTCGCGAAATTCGTACCAAAATTGCTCAATTTTTGGCCAAAAACAACACACTAATAATGCCGCAGCCACCGTATTCCCCAGATCTGGCCCCCTGTGACTTTTTCTTGTTCCCGAAACTGAAGAGGCCCATGAAAGGACGACGCTACGCTACGATTGAGGAGATAAAGACGGCATCGAAGGAGGAGCTGAACAAGATCACAAAAAATGATTTTTTGAAGTGCTTCGAGGATTGGAAAAAACGTTGGCACAAGTGTATAATATCTGGTGGGGATTACTTTGAAGGGGACAAAATAGATATTCATGAATAAATAAATCATTTTTGAAAAAACACAAAATTCGCGATACTTTTGAACACAACTCGTATATTAAATTATATTTATATTACAGAACCTTGTTAAACTCTTCCATTTCTTGTTTAAAAAAAAAATTGCTTTATTCCTTAAAATTACATATCTTTAACACTCTAAACTTGATTAAAAAATTTTTCTCGAAAATGTCTACTCAAGTTTCATAAACTACAACACTTTGCCTACAAAATGCTATTTTTTAAAATTAATAAAACATGAAAAGTAGGCCAAATATACGAGCCGAAATGATTTAGAAGTAAGAATAATTAAAAATTTTTATTCATAATATGAATGTAGACGTTTCGACCTCTGCTATTTTTTAAATTTTTCTACGATTTTTTTGATCGAGTTATACAATTTTGAAAATAAATCTACATTTTTAGATACGATGCCAGTAGATACAAATAAAATACTAACTACATTACAAAATATGAAATAGTAAATGAATTTAACATACATTTCAATGAATTTTAAACTTATAAAAATTCGATTTAATCAACAATTAGAAAATTACAGTTGCATACGATTATCAATGCAAATATCTTAATAAATATTTCTAATATAAAAAAAAATTTCGTATTTTTAATTTTAATCACAGAAGATATAATTAAATAAAATTTAATTAATTAGTGCCGTTAGTTAGCGTTCATTAGATACATATTTACTAAATATTTAATACATATTTACTAAATTGAGTAAATATTATTTAATAAATTATTTTTTTATCAAACACTACAAAAAAATTTTAAACTTATCAATACATAAAAAAATAATGCTATACAATTGAATTGCAAAACATTGTATAAATAGCTAAAAATTTTTAGCTATTTATACAAAAATGTAGTATTGCATCTTTAAAAAATAAAGGCATTTTTAAATATTTGAAATAATATTTACAAAAGAAATTGATAATATTATATGATAAATTTTTCTTTACTATCTACTTATCCTAAAATTTTTCTTGTAAGTTTTGAAAATATCAAGAGTGATAAGTTAATGATTTACTTTGTAATTAGGAATAGTATCCTTGGTTTAGATCTCAATTTCTAATTAGCGAAAAAATTAATTTTCGCAAAAAATAATCAAAAAAAAAGATATTGCCTTAAGCTCTACAGCCGATACACACACACATACACACACGCGACACGCGCGTACCACGCGCACACACGCGCACGCACACGCACGCACGCACACGCACGCACACACGCACGCACGTACATGTATATATTATCTATATTTCGAGAACCGAATTATATTCTTAATATTGTTTGTTTACGCATGGGCTGAAGAACGGTATTATTTAGTTAAAAGGCACAGAGAGAAATATCATTTTGGAAGGTCTGAATAGCTCAGTGGTAAGAGCAGTCGCCCGATAGGCAAAAGACTCGGGTTCGATTCCCGATTCAGCCGACTTTTAGACCGATATTTTTCCCGCCTATAGCTTTACAGGGGGTTAAAGGGGTACTATTGATAAATGTTTAAAATACAGACTGTTCATCTGAAATTATAATACAAATATTTGCATTTGGTGCTTTCCGATACATAAATCTTTGAATCTCCCCGATATACATATAAATTTCTAAATAAGAAAAGTTAATTTTACTTTCTATACATTATAGTATCAGAACTATATTGTTCAAGTGTTTTAGTAATAAAATTTAAAAAATTTACAGAAAGTAAGGTTAAGCAATTTGGCATATAAAAAGCTAAAATATAAAACAAAGTTTAAAAAGTTAAAATTATCGTTCAATAGAGTGAATGGCCATATTATTGTCAGTTAATATGTACTCGTAAATGGTTTTTGTCACTATTACTAACAGTGTCCATATTACTGTCGGTTAATATTTAAATGGGTTTTAAAATTTAACCATAAATATTACATTTAAAAAAACGTTTTAAAATTTTTTAATAAATTTACTTATTGTTAAAGAATAAATAAAAATAAAAATTAAAATACTAATTAAAAAAAACTTAAAGTTTGAGAAGCATGTTTTTTTTACGGATTGCGTCCCTTCTAGTTAAGAAAGTAGAAAACGATAGCTAACTTAACCTGTTTACTTTTGTATCACTTATACGACTTGTGCGTGAGCGTGACATTTTAAGTTATGAAAAATTGACAGTAATAGGGCCAGAATTAGGTACAATATAATTTGGAGGTTGCCAGTATTAAGTGCAACTGTATGTAACCATTATTATATTAATTAATGAATAACAAATTAATTTTATTTGATTTTTAAAATTTTATTCGTAAATTATATATACTTATAAACAAATTTAAAAACTATATGGCACTTAAATATTATTGACCATATACATTTAATCGAATATAACTGAACGACTAATTTGTCAGTAATGTGGCAATTCACCCTACTGTAATAAAAATAGTGAGCCATTAAATGTAACATATTTTAAGAATAGAAAATTTTATTGAACAGTTGTATAAACATAAGCGATGATAACTATTTGTGTTAGATTTTCTGCAAAAAATGGATAGTGACAAATAATGAATTTCAGATAAGAAAAATCTGTAATTTATTCATAACAGTATGCAGTTATTCATATCCATAAAAAATTATCTTTTTTAAAAAAAGGTAAAAAAAGTGCCAAGTTTACGCATCATGTGTAAAAGTGTTATAGAAAGAATATAAAACTTTTGTCTTGTAAAATTAATATTTCTAAAAAAAAAATAATATCAAAAAGTTGCGTCAAATATATAAAAATTTGTAAAAAAAATAGAAAATTAGAAACTTATGATGTAATTTTTTAAGTAAATTAATTATTTGTTATTACAGTAATGTTTATATAGAATTAATCTTATTTTTTCAACTTTAAGATATACCTACTGCAATAACTAATTAAACACTATGCTAATGAACGAACTCTGTACATTTAAATTACAAATATTTTTATACTTTTAAATTAAATAAATTATTTAGTAGTTTATGATACATTGTAGTAATTATTTTTTTACAATAAATTAATTATTGGTTACGTTAAGATATATTGCCAAAAATTAATTATTTGTTACTTTAAGATATATTATAGATAAGATACATTACAGTAATTTTGAAATTCATCAGCATCAAGTTTTAACTAAAATTTTTTAATTTTTTTATTTTGAATATATTATTTGGCTCTCCAAATAAACACACAATACCCACATAGTACACAATATTTATGATAAAGATTCATAAATATTTATAAATATATATTTTTTTCAAATATTATATAAATATTTTAAAAATGTTTTATAAAAACCTTTATTTAACAAATTATTAAAACATAGATTAAATATTTCATATAATATTTATGATATGTAAAGATAAATATTTATAGTAATTATTTTGTAAATATTTTTCAACTAAATTGTTAGTTCCTTCATTTACTGCTATGTGACGTATCTTTCT